CGTGTGTCCCTCAGAAGCATATAATTTTTTTTTTACCCGCTGAAAGTTGGTGTCCAGTCCCCAATGACGCGCCTACAGCTCCCTTATAATATCCTTAGGAGTGATTTAGGCTTATCCTCATCCCTCCAACCATCTAAACGAGCCGTTTTGGCCGACTGACAAACAGTCCTGGTCAGTTGTTTTATGTAGTTTTTTTTTGTTTTTTTTTGTTTTTTTCCAGAATTACGTTTCGATTCTCTGTTTTTCTGTTTGTATCTCTTTCATTGATTTTAATATCTGCAGGTTATTAGGGCCTCGAGCTAATGATCGCCATATTAAGCAGAATAAATTCGATAAATTCAATTCAATAAACCATATACCGTTAAATACAAGAAAATATTAGTGAAGTGGGTGGCAGAGTACACTCAGGGCTTCACTTATGTTTGTTCTTCTTTGCCACTCTTAAGAAAGCGATGTTTTTATTTTGTTTATTCACACAGAAGTTTACATTGCCGCTAGGTACTATAGCCAAGGTGGGCTTTAAAACCATTTGGAAAAAATCACTGAAAGAGGCGTATATATTATAGGGTGCTTGTTTTTAGTTCATATATGCGTATTAAAGAAAAAAGAAAGCTGCGAAAGTTAGAAGAGTGCTATTTGTGCCGGCGAATTATACGGCCAGTAGATTTAATATAAAGGGCTAATCATCACGATTAACCAAATAATTAACTCGAAATTGGAAATTAACTATTTCCTTAGAGGAAAGAAACTTGCCGTAAAATACGGTGCCTTCTTAACTGGCAACATTTCTCATCTGCATGCGAGACATCAGGGCCGGTTTGCTAGAAAGAGCGCCTCAGCTGAAACTGGGGGGAGGAAAGCACTGCCAAAGCCAGCGCAGGAGCTAAGCAGGATTCAAATTGCGTCTCAACACGCTCGCGCGCCCCAGCCTTTGCAGTGCTACCTCCCAAATTCAGCTTCATGGTAAACTTTTTTAATAAAAAAATATTTCTGTACACCAGCCAAAAGTTCAGTTTTTGGTGACATAGCAAATATCGAGTAAAAAAATAGATCTGGACAACGTTTCGGCCGTTAACGGATCCCGCAATAGCCTCCCACCCCCTCCTCGCGCCAGCCAAATGCCTCCTTACCCCCCCCCCCCCCTTCTCCCCCTCCCCCAATGACGGACCCACAAATCCGCCTCTTGTACGGAATGGCCATGGGTGCCGTGTTATTCGCTTTTCTCGCGTGAGTTGAAACGTGGTGGTGCCAGTGCTCAAATACCTCCCAACCACCTCCGCTTCTGAACAGGGTGGCGGGTTTCGCAGTATTTGTAAATAAAATCTACATTCTTTTGTTAGGGGAAATGTTTGTGTATTCCTCTTTTAAATATAATTCACTCTTACGGGAAAAAACTAGACTGAAAAGTAATCCGTTACAAGTAACGGATTCGTTGTAATCCATAAACTTTTCAAGTAATTCTGCAATTGCCACGTTACTTTTTTTTTTCGTAAGTAATTTGTAATGTAGTTTCATTGGAAAATATTCGTAGCCGATTCCTTTAAATACTCCTTACGTTTTAAAATTATGAGTATAATACAGTAACTGGAGCAATAAGAGCAAAACACTCAGCAGCATAAAAGAGCAAGTTCAACAAAATAAAAAACATCAGGAAGGGAAGAATAGCCAAAAGGAAAACACGATTTTTTGTTTTACCGGTTACTATAACTAGGCGTGTCGCGAACTTTTTTCGAGCTTTCGGGACTCGACTGGTCTGAACCGGTTCGACGAACCTTGGACCTTTTAACCAGATTCAACCGGTTCGATTTTGTGGATAGTGTGGCCAGACCTTGATACTAGCACGTCTACGTTTGGAGATTTTTTTTATGCAAAGGGTTATTTTAATGGCCATCACCATCCAATTCGAAGCCAACTGGCCAGCCTGTCGCGCTTGCGCATAGCAGTCGAACCTAAGTTCAACCATTGTTGAACTTTTCACAAGGAGTTCGTAAAGGTCGAACCTGGCCGAACTTGAACCTCTAACGGTTTACGACACCCCTTACTATAAAAACTAGAAAAACGGCCAAGGCATTTTACAAATATACGAAAGACAAAGATCAAGTGAGACAGCGCCGAGTAGGCTCTCCGTCTCCATTGATCGTATTTTTCTTCTTCTGCCAGGCAGGAAAAAGCTCTTCATGTTTATTTGTTTTTCGTCTTTTACACCGTTTCACCCTTTCCAACTTCTTCGACGTCTCCCGCCACCGTGCAGGTGCCGGGAGTCGTCGGAGAGAACGCGTTGTGAACCCACGAATAGGGGGGGGGGGGGGGGGGTATGGACCCGCGTTGGATGTCTGTGCAAGACATCAATCGCGGGTCCATACCCCCCCCCCCCCCCCCCTATTCACGGTTCGCGGGTTCCCAACTCGCGTAACAGACGATGTAGCCTCGCGCGAGGGAGTCGAATTCCTTTGTCATTGATGCGCGCTACTGTATTCTAGCGCGTTCTTGAGGCACGGCTGAAAAGCTCCCGGTGGAGGTTAAGAGCATCGTGTTCGAGGGTATACGAATAAAACTTCTTTTGGTTTACTTGCCTGCGCATGGTGGGCGAGTCCGTTTCTCACTTTAGAGAAAACTGTCAACATAAAGGGGGGGGGGGGGGGTGGGTAGGCCATCTAAGGAGTGCTGAGAGAGAGGGAGAGAGAACGCGTAAAAGTGGTGTAATCCTCTATTCTTTTGTGAGACCGATGGCTACCGCTTCTCTCGCTCTATATGCCCTTCCCTCCCCTGGCCTCCAGGGATATTGGTATGAAAGTGAGAACCGAACGATCGATAACCCGTAACCGCCACTTTTTCTCTCTGGTCGAGTTTTCGATCATGGAGTGTCCGTCGTCTCAATGGCCATCTCTTAATGAGATGTTCGAAATTCAGGGCATTAAGGAGAACGAAAACCTAGAGTTTCAGTGCATTACTTGCTTGCCAAAAAAAAAAAACATTGTCATTAGCAAGAACAACAAGCTTTATTCTGCGAAAACACATCAAGGTGGGACGTCTGCATTGTGCATTGGCTATAGTTAGTATAAATTGTAACGTTAGAACTTTCAAGTAACGAGCCCAAATCTGTGAAAATTATGCTAAAAGTTCTTTTTTTGTGAATAACAGGCGAAACACCCAAGTCAATAGGAAGCTTTCGTACATCGCTTCTTTAGCTTCGAATGTCGTAGCGGAGGAAGATGCTGCCATGCGCACCGCTAGCTTTTTCTGCTCGATTCCAGGGATCATACTGGAGGCCGTAAGCTAGCGGGATGGCGGGTGTGGTTGCAGCTTTCGTTGCCTTGTCAGCTTACAGGTGAACGGAGTGCACCGACAGCCTTTTTCTTAAATAAAATACTTTATTTTTACAAGGACTACTACAATATGGGCGTATGAGAAATGAAAAGTAGTGCTCCAGAACATTTTTGAAAAATATCAAAATTGTTTCTATTGTTTTCTGGATAAGTGTACGGAAAAAGTAACGTGAAAGTAATTTGTAACATAACGACTAAATTAATCCGTTTCTTTTCAAAGAAAGTGATCTGTAACGGCAATCAATTACATTTGAGGCTCGGTAATTTGCAATTCTAATTCATTAAATCTTTCAAGTAACGAGCCCAAATCTGTGAAAATTATGCTAAAAGAAGTTTAATCACACCCGGACTGGAAGTCTTCCAGGGCTGCCCAATAAATAGCGCCACTGAGTTCGTTGCCAAACAAAAAAAGACGAATAGTGTCCGCGAGAGCACCCTTAACGAATTTCTAAAAACAGTTTGTTCGAAGAAAAATCAAACACCATATATACATATGAAACTCTAGTATAAACGTACTTTACAAAGAAGTATTCATAACAATACCAGTGGATTAAAAAGGTATTAATTGCCCTTTTTTTTTATGGGCGTTCATGTCAAATGGGTCACTTGCCCCTTCTTTTACTGTTGTCCACGGTCCTCGATGAAATACTTCGAAAACTCGTCATTTTTACCACCGTTAGGATAAAGGTTGTCCATTAGTTTAATACAATGGCGGAACAACTGGAACAACTTTTCCTTGCAACGGTTGCGTCCACAATAAACGTATACGGCTATATTGGTGCACAAAGACATTCCGGAACATTTCCTACTAGAAAAAAAAATAAGTACACTGGTATATCCCGAGTGAGCCCAACTTTACATAAACCAAAAATCTCATTACGTTTGTAGTCCTGTCTATATTAGCGATAAATACAGTCCTCATACGCATGAATATAGTTTCATTCGGTTATAAACAGTCAATGAGCAGCAGTTGATGAAATGTGTACAACCTATTCTAAGGTTCTATAAATAGCATGTTAAAGGTTGTATACAAGGGCATTTTGTTGCTACATGTTCACCTCTTTTTTATTATGATTACGCGAGACATATATGACGACCAACATCTCCATAATAAAGAACTTATCTCTATATATGACGACGCGGTTGTCCCAGTAAGCTCGAGAATACCGCGATATTATTTATTTGCGGATACCCTTCCATACTTTAATTGAATGTTCAAACCTCAAGTCAGTTTTCTGTATCTATCCATGGCTAGTAAAATTGAAGGTTACTCCCAGGTTCTCAGTTGAAAACGTCAACCCTACCAGTTCCTCAATGGCGTACAACATTTTTATAAAAATCTTCAGCAAAATCAGTATCGAAATATTTAACACAGGCACTGAAGTGTTTGGTCCTCGTCTGACTAATAGTTAATTATTTTTTGCTTACCCCAAACAGGACGTTTGCTGTGAGTTCTATTTTACCGATTTCGAGTTTAAATTCTTCTCTGCTATTGAAGTTTATTATTACCCACGGTAATATGCATCATCCTACCTAGTTTCATTACCAACATAAAATACCGTATAGCGACATCATTTATCTGGCATTAACATCCCGAAATGTGTAATCAGTTTACACTGCATTAAAATTATGGCAACTCGGCAGTTTGTAAGCATATAGAATAAACGGATGACAATGATGATGATGATAATAGCGATCATGAGTATTTGTTTTCTTATATCTCGCGCAGCTTATGGTGCAGTTTGGCCCGACCGTAACTGCGGTAGAAAAGAGGAGCCTCTCAGCCTCAGGATTGTTGGAGGGAGGCCGGCAGTGGCGAAGGAATTTCCCTGGATAGTAAGCTACTGCATTAAATTTCTTAAATAGTTCATTGGCACAGGTCAGCCTGACCAGTTGTGCAGTTTGTGGCAATCCTGTTATTCACGCGGGTACGATTTGATACATATAATTTCAACTGATATAATAATGTGAAGTAACTGTTCCATACCATTTTCTTAAGCTTTACAGATTTGTTTGTAAAAGGCCTTGAAAGTTACATTTATGCTGTTTTTGCAGATCAGTTATACGGCCAGGGGGATATAGTATATGGGGCTAATCGTAACGATCAGTCGTGTGATTAAGCAGCATTCCTAATTGGCCTTTTAATTAGTCAAAATGGGCATATGGTTCCAATTAGAAACTTGCGGAGCGTTATGCAAAACCGCTAAATCGTTATTTTTTTAGAAATACTTTGAGCGAGTGGGAGGCGTAGTAGTGCTGCAAAAGTACCACTGATGCAGCCGGTGCAAGGCTGGGGCCAGACCTGTACACGTTACTGAAAAATAATGAGGAATTACATTTACAATTACTCGAGGCTAAATTGTAATTTATTACGATTACAATTACCCTCCAATGAAAGTAACTCACCGTTACCCCAAAAAGTAATCCGTTACTTTCGTGGCGTTACTTTTAACATTATTGTCCTCAAGTAAGAAACAAATGGAAGAGGGTTATTCAATTTCTTATTGTTGCCGCCTATTCCATTTAATGACCTTGAGTATTTTGAGAAACAGCTGGCTCTCAAAAGTCTCGTCAGACATTTTGCTTTATTTCTTACTCAATATGTCCACTGCTGCGCTGAACACCATTTGAGCTGAGGCACTGCATGGGAGTGCCATATTCTTCCTCACGAATGCTTCATGCTCTGCATTGAGTTTTTTCAGCGAAGCAAGGGAAGTACTATTTACCTCGAATGTAGAACAAAGCTTTGTCGTTGCAGCCGTTGCCTGCTATTCGAGAGATTTAGTAGATCTTTCCGATACCTCCGATACCCGCAATAACGGTACCCGATAACAATATGATGCATACGCAAAGACGGAGGCAAAGTATCGGATATCGTTATCGGAGTCATCGGACCGATCTGCTAAAATTCTCCATTGTCTAAATGGCGAAGCTGTTGAAGGCATCAATAGCAAAACATAGTTGTAATAGTAAGGTGATAATTAAATAATAAATAAGGTTTGGCTCGATATTCTTCTTTCTTCGGTTCTGAACAGTTCGAGCCTCACTTGAGACGTTGGTCAATGAAAAAGCGTTTCCAGTATATAAATATAAATAATAAAATAAAAAGAAGGACAATCATAACAGCAAGTAATTAGAACGTCAGTTAAAACAAGAAATTGCAGACGCACGCTTGCCGTGTGTACCTTTCTTGGTGCCGTTCGAAAACACACGGAGCACGGACCGACTGCAGTTTACTCCGGTGTTCTCCAGATAGACGTCCACTGATGCCGCGGGCAGCAAAGGGTAGAGTACTAAGTAAGCCGCGCTATGGCCCCACTCACGAATTTCACTCTCTCCTCAAGCCCAGAATATCAAGTCTACGTCAGCCACCATTATGTTTTATTTGTAAAAATACCTGCTTGAGATAAGATGCGTCCTGCTGGGGCAAAACAGGAAGAAGAAGAAGAAAGGAAGACTATAACCATTTTCTAAGGGCTCGCAAAAAACTGACTCACAAAAAGGGTAGGGTAGAGGGAGCGTTGTCTCGTGTTGTGACATTGTGTTGTGTTGTGACGTTGTGACACGTTGTGACACATGAAAATGGTCGTAGTCACTATATCCGAGAAGGACATTGTTAATTCTTTTCGGTGCACTTACCGCCTCGAGCTTCTCGAAGAGGCGCACAATCACTTGGTGTCCTCCTCTCCCCGTCTTCGACTGCAAAGAACAAAACAAAGGCACTAAAAAAAAAACGCGGAAATAACTTGTCCCTTTCCCCCCCCCCCCCCCCCTTTTTTTGTAGAATTGCTTATTTGGATTTTTTTACATTGATGTTAGGGTCTAAAAAAAAAGATAGACTCAGGGGCTTGGTGTTGCAAACAAAAAGGCTTTGCGGAAGGAACTGAAGAGTGCCAAGCATCCCTTTGCGGCGGTCAATTCCCGTGACAGTGTCACTGCGCTCGATTTTACAAAAAAAAAAAAAACTTCTTTTTAAAATGGGGGGGGGGGGGGTTGGTTCTGACAAAAAAATGTAACGGATTACAAGGGATCCGTTACGTAAAAAATGCGAGGGAATTACTTTAAAATTACTCTAGAAAGTATGTAATTATTCCGTTACTAAATTACCGATAAATGCAAAGGATTACAAGTAATTTCGTTACTTGTAACGGATTACGTACAAGTCTGGCTGGGGCCCTCATAGAAGGCGGAAAAATCAAGCGACCGCTTTATCGCACCGGTTGCCTTGCTCCTGCTGCACGAGGGGTAATTTTAGCGCACCACCGCGCGTAATTGGAATCATATGTCTATTTTCACTAATTCAAAAGTTAATTAACAAGTTTGAGTTAATTAGCCGTCTGATTGTTACGGTTAGCAACCTATGCTTAGTCCACCTGGCCGTATAACACCCCGTAACATGCTGCATAAGTGTTCCTTTCACACTTATGCAGCATGTTCATGAAAGCGTAAAAGAAAGACCTGTAATAAAATGTTTTTATAAGTATTCGAATATAAACTTATATTAAAAATGCAGTATCTATTGGCATTGTGAGCATGCAAAACTTCGCAATGCATTATTTCTGGTGATAATAACCGCTAGGCAAACCATTATCAAGATGCTATAATTCACAATGTGAAGCAAGTCGAGGATGATTCTTATATTACCTTTTCTCATATAACTTATAAAACGCGATAAACACAGGAAAATAAAACAACTCGAAATTACGTTTTTTCATGGAATTGCTACTCCCACCATAACATAATATACAAAACAAAATAATGGTAATTATATTTTGAATTAGGTAGTATGAAACAATTCGATTTTGGGTTTGACAAAAAATGTATTCTGGGTGAATTTTTTAAACAATTTAGGGCGCAAATAGTCTTGGGAACTTTTTCAAGTCATGAACAATTGAAGCGACAAAGGTGAGAAGTGATATATTTTCTGTCGATAAAAGACATAATATGTCCTCTATTAGTTATATGCATCTTTAATTTGCTGATGTGGGATCTTATGAAACAATATTGTTAAAACAATTATTAGGATCATTAGATCTTAGAATGTTAAAAAAACAACAATCAAACTTGACGATGTTTGACAATCTTTAGTAAGCTCTTCCCTGGTGACGTATATGAAATTTAAAATGCTCTAGATATAAAGACACTGTCAGATTTTTTGAACTATTTTCGAAAAGACTATGATTTATTTTATTTTCTAAAAATATCTGCGGCATATCAAATTGGATATTCTAATCTATTAATAAATAGCCTCTTTCGGGGGGAGTGCCGTTCAAGCAGTATTTTGCAGCACCTTTTTGCGTGAGGCATGATGAACGAGTAAAACACGAAACCACTGACGTCTGTCCAGAGTAGCTGCTGTCGGGGGCGGGGGGAACCGTGATTAACTCCATTGTTTTGTTGTTGCTGTTGTTTTTTTTGTTTTGTTTTGTTTTGACAAAATAAAGGTGGAGTAAAGTGGCTTCTGAGGTCGTTTATTTATGATCATAACCCAATCAACACCCTCTAAGCATTCCCAAAGACGCAAGATTAGGTTGATACGCGTCCGATTTTCCTAATGAAAACCAGGATCGAAGATCGCGACATACCTATTTTTCTGCGATTTAGAGAAGAAGCCAGAGGGCGCCGTCGATCGTGCGTCAGCCGATCGCGAACGATCGCTTCCCGCGAAGCAAGGGGGCCGAGTGGGCCGACCAACGGTGGAATTATTTAAGAATGTGTGTGATTCGCGAGCGAGAAGCGATCCGTCACGATTGGAAGGCCCACATTCGATTTTGTCGTTTGGCTTCTGTAGCAAATGGTGCAGAAACAAGCGTACCGCGATCTTTGATTTCGTATTTAGTAGAAAGAACTAGTGAGAAATTATCTAATCTTGGTCTTTTTATAAAGGTTATAACCCGTAGATTTATTTATGACCGTAAATCGACGATGAGATCATTTTCTTTTAGGTTGGCTACGGCATTTGGAGTTTTTCGGAACACTTTCGAAATGATATTTAGAATGATAATGAGTTTGCGAGATTGGTCGCATTTTCTTTTTTTTAGACAAACTGCGAAACTTTATCTTTTTGAGCAAGGTTTGCAAAGATTTTCAAGATTTCATGTGAGGCCCATTCAAGATAGACTAATGAATTTTATTCCAACAAAAGAAATACTAATTAGCACTTTTTATAACAAATGTGTTGTTTTTTATAAAAAAAATATGGTGTCACACCCGACTAGCAGAGACTGCACAACACATTTGTTTATTTCTTGAACATTTCATGCTGGTCTAAGTATTGTACTGTTTATCAGTCATGTCTCGTCAATCATGTCTCATCGTGTTATGTCTCGTCAATACTTACCCCGTTAATATTGATACGCCGCTATATGTGAAGTGGCCTGACGTCCCGATATATTTTATGTTTGCACTTGCAGATCCGCCAGCGAATCCGCGCAGCATTTGCCGCTGGTGCGAAACGCTGGGCGAGTCCGGCTTCAGGGTGCTGCCATCTTGCTTGGCTGGGTGCGCTCGGATGAGTCATAATCCGATTACGAAGCCTTGCTAAGGTGTCGTAATCGGGTAATAGCCGCGCCCAAGAGCGCACTCCACCGAGGAAGATGGCGGCGCCACGTGTATAGACCGTTCCATTAGGGTCATAGCAGAGAGGGTAAAAAGATAAAAAAATGCCCTCCCCCTCTCGCCCGTAGGTCGTCTGCTCCGCCTAGGGAGCCTTCATGTGCGCTTTGCTAGGGTGATGCCACCCTTTGTAATACCACTCGCCGACAAACCAGCAGCCATTTTGTTCCTCGGCGATAGTCCGTGGGGCTTATAACCCTCCCGGAAACAAGCACCTTATCTCAGAAGTTCGGAGCAGCGTTGTGGAACCCACGGAGGGAAGATTAGCATTTTCCCCCTCGGATGGGATTACCGATGGACACAAAGGCCACTTTCCGGCGCACGGGGAAACAATGAGAGAAACAAAATGGCGGTGGAAGAGGGTGTGGGAAAAAGAAACAGGCAGTTGGCATCACTCTATGCGAAGCGCACATGAAGGCACTCCAGCTCCGCCGAGTGTGCAGAACCTAGCATCCGGCTGGCCTACAAACTCTGTTTAAAATCGCATCATTTTGGGAATTCCAAGAGCACATGCGGAGATTTTGGTATGCCAGTTATCGTGTATTACTATGCTAGATAAAAAAGACTAACAAAGTCCAATTGCGCTGTTTTCTGTTTGCAAATAAAAAAAAAATAGAGAAAACTGTGTCAGACTGGCCGGTCTCTCCGGCGAAGAGTGAATCCGGTGGTTGTACCTTTTTTACTATACAAAGTTCGTACTGGTGTAGGCCTTTAGCGACCATGAGTGGATGTCTGAAATAATAAATAAAAACGTGCTCTCCTGCCGCAATACACGAAGTAATTGAGGGTAGTACTGCCGGCTGACTCAACTATTTAAGTAATGGAAAAAAGATATGCCAGTTGATCATTTACCGAAGTAGAACAACAGAGAGCTCTAGGCTGATCTTGGAGTAGCCACAACTATTCTAAGAACGCGAACCACTTCACAACGGCAGCCACGAGCGACAGTTTGATGTTCGATACAGCCCAAAGATGGAGAATGGCAACCTCCCGTTTTGCCGTCTGCTAGCGGAGTCGGGCGCGTGCCCTCTCTCTCGTTTTACCCCGCCGAACCCGCTGAATTTCCCGGATGTATGGAGAGGGCGCCGCTGTCGAACAAAATGGTGCCGCCCACAGAGCACTAGATGGAATGGTCTATAGGTCCAGGACCTATTTCTGCCGCCGAACTAGGCGTTTCGCTGACCGGATGTGACATTCTTGTGCAGCGCTACGCTGCCTACGTCATGAGTAAGCGTTCTTCTGGGAGCAGCAAAGTCCGGGAGAGACAGCCGAGGTGGGAACTCTCGCGCCTTCTCGTCATACTTGACGGGATGTTAGGAGAACTGCTGCCGCAGTCGGCGCCGCCGCCGTCGCTCTAAGAAAATAGATGACCACGCAACCTGCTCGTCACCGCTGCCGCCGGGAGCGAATACGCCCCCGCGGGAGCGGATTTCTTTTCAGGTGTAAACGTACCATTAGGCGGTACGGGTCCCGCTTTTGCGCTATGGCCCCACTGTCCCGCCAGCCTGCTGTGGGACGGCGTTTTGTCCCGCTTTGGCTCCACCGAAAGCCCGGCGGCTCGCGCCACGGTCCCGCGGGCCGCGACTCGCACAGTTTTTTGATCTGGTTAACTAGCGAGCCAGTCAAAACTAGACAAAGCTCAGTTGTACACTCTACTCGGCGACAACCTTTCTTGACATTTCCTGGGAGAGGAGGAGAGCCCCCGCACAGCTTTATTGAGCGCTCAAAATGAGAGAGCGAACACATGCCTGTACCTTCCACTACATTGCCAAGCAAAGTTGTCGCCGAGAGCTCGGTCCCGGAAGAGCTGTTCGCCGCTCACGAGAGCAATCTCCGCCCGGTGACGCATACTCGCGTACCGGACGTTTCTTATCTTCGTTGTTTTTTTCCTACCATTGGAAATAAGGGAAAACGCGGAGAGCAAAAGGCGTCGAAGAGACAGGGAAGCCCGGTGACGGCAGCGCTGAGGGGAAAAAAATGGAGTTTTGTAGCACGCTTGTCAGATCGCTTTTTCCCCACAACCCCGTTCAACCCCGCACCATCTCCGTGGCTGCGTACACCACGCGCGGACGTCGTCGGTTCGTCGCGCTCACCGAGTTTGATTGCGGTGGTTCGAGGCCAGCACACTGTCTTTGTTTTTCATGCTCGTTATAGCGCGATAGAAGACAATGCCTAAGCGGAAGTGCAAGTTCAACGAGGCGCTGGGGAAGGAGTTTCCGTTCATAAAGAAGACATGGTCGGAGTCCGATGTTTGCTTCAATAAATCCGGAGGAGACTTTTCTATCGCCCACAGTGGACGTTCTGACACCGTGAAGCATATCAGCACCGAGAAGCAAAAGCGGAACCTGTCAGCTGCTGCCTCTTCCAGTGCGCTGACGAAGTTCTTCAGGCCGGAACACGCCGGGGACAAGGAGTTAAAACTCGCCGCTTCTGAGGGTGTGTTCGCATTCCACACGGTTGTCCACAACCAAAGTTTTCGGTCAATGGACTGCACCTCAAAACTTCTGCAGAAACTTTTTGACGAAATATTTGCCTGTGCGCGCACGAAAGCCGAAGCGGTTGCCTTGAACATGCTCGCTCCTTCTGCAGCAGAAGATTTGAAGGCCGACCTCCAGGACGCTCAGTTCACCTTTGTCTTCTGTGATGCGTCGAACCACAAGGATCGATCTGAAAGTGTTTCCAATAGTGATTCGTTACTTCAGCTCTGCTGCTGGAGTGCAAACGAAGCTGCTTGAGATCAAAACATTGCCAGGTGAGACTTCGATCATGTTGAGCCAGTACATCATGAGCACCACTGGAAGCCAACGACATCACTTTGGAGCTGATTGCTTTCAGCGCCGACAATACCAACTGCAACTTTGGTGGTGCCGCACGGAACGGAAAGAACAACGTCTTCGCAAGAATTCAAGACGCTTCAACTCACAAGCTCATTGGCATTGGCTGTGCAGCGCACATAGTCCACAACACCATCCAGACTGCAGCTGACTGCCTCCCAATTGACATTGAAGCTGTGATCGTCAAGATATATTCATAGTTTTACATCTATACGGTCAGGTTAGTGTCGTTCAAGGAGTTTTTCGACTTCGCATCAGTGGAGTACCAGCGGCTCCTGAGCTGCAGTAAGACTAGGTGGTTGGCATTGATGCCAGCTCCGGAGAGGGTGCTGAAACTCTTTCCTGCTTTGAAGTCGTTCTTTTTGTCGGCAGACAAGAGCCCTTTTCTGACCAAGACATTTTCTGAAGATGCATGCGGAGAGCTCTGCTCTACTTCCTGCACAGCCATGGTTCAAGCGTGCTGCAGATCGAAGGAGACTCGAAGACTGCCATCGAAGCCCACAAAGCCCTAAACCAGCTGCAGACTAGAGTCGACGACACACTTCAGCAGGAATTTTTGCCGTCAAGCGTGCGCTCCGTGATTACTACGCTTGAGGAACAAGGAGAAGTTTGAAGAGGATCGGTAACACATGTTGTGAGGAATTTCTATCAGACATGCCTGTCATACATCAGGCGATGGTACAACCAGTTTCATAAGATCAGCGGTCTCTCCTGAGCCTCTCTCGACACAGCACCACTTTGGACGATGTTCAGAAAAGTGCGCAAGTCATAACTTCAGAGTTCAGCCACGTCTGCTTTGAAGAGAACGCTTTATTTGATGAGGCATGCAACGTTTCGGGTTATGTCACGGCCAAAAAGCTGGACGAATGGAAGAGCCAGAAGAAACCGGTTGGAGAACGGTGGGTGAAAGTGCTCCAGCATTTCGAAAGAAACGATGTGCCTTGCGGCAACATCAAGGCAATCATCGAGTATTGCGTGTGTTTGCCATGTACGAATGCACCAGTGGAGACGATGTTCTCGTTGATGAACAAGGTATGGGCTGCAGAGAAGACGTAGCTCCAAGTGGCAATACTCAAGGCTCAAGGCTCAAGGTGAACGTGCACGTGACCTGTGAACAATACCACGGACACATTAGCAAAAATGAAGGACTACTAAGAAAGATCCATTCTAGCCAGAAGTTTTAGATTTGTATACCGGCTAAGAAGAAAACAAACTGGAGGGAAGGAAATGCTACATGGCGTGGATGAAACTATAAAAAGTGTGATTCGTTGACTTTAACTACATGTCGCAAATCGCCGGACGCATTCTTGGCATTTGTGCCGCTGTTTTTGATTCGTATATAACATCTGATGATGACGCGAAATTAGGATGATTATTGGTTGGGCTTCCATCTGGCAACTTGGGGCCTAAATTTCTAAATAAGTGACAGCATTAGGCTTCACTGCGGAATGTTTGACTGATACGCGTGGCATAATTTGAAACTCGGCAATTAGGTAGCGAACACGGGAAAAGCCATCAGAAAGCCAAACTACTTTGTCATGAACTAAGGCCATGGACCAAAACCTTACCAGGCGCAAGTCAGGCCCTCATTGATTGCAAAACCTGGGACAATTTAGGTACCTTTCGGCATGCTGTGAGGGATACCATGTGGAGGAAGGTCAAATGATCAAAACTATGTGACTCAGCCCATTTCTTTTTCCACATTTAGGAACACTTAAACAGGATTTGCCTCAACCCTTTTCTACCGCCATAACTGCACTCGTCGTCACCTTGATCATCTAATCTCATGTTCGCGGCGCTAGTAAAACTATTTCCTCCTACGTCTCAACAGGCAAACGCCCATATAGCTATCAACAACCCCATAATAACTGTAAACAAGCACGTGTGCAGCCATGTCATGATCTTCTCAAGCCTCACCAGGCTGAGTCCAATAGCGCGACACTACAATCTCTTCAGCACGTAATACCCTGTAGCTAGTTCAACATCTGTCGGTGCAAGAGCCATCCTGACCGGTATCTATTAGGCGTCTTTCGGTCGTTTCAAGTTTGCTTTGTACATTACTGTATTCGAGGTTTCGCTTTATGCTTGCCAATTACAGGTATCCATTCAGACGGAACTAAACGTTCATAAGTGTGCTGGATCTATCATTTCGGCAGACGTGATCCTGACAGCTGCGCACTGCCTCGAAAAGTAAGCATTGTTGCTTCATCAGTACAGCGGGGATGATATTTAACCGTCCTATTTTGCATTGCAGTACGATACCCAAAGAAATCAGAGTTCACGCTGGATTTATAAATCTTAAGAATGCGGAACCCTACAAACAAGTTCGATTTGTAAGCAGGAGAGCCGTCATTCTTTTCTATGAGCATGCATAACCGCCTTGTTTGAGACCAGTTTGCCTCATTACCTGCAGAAAATAACCATCTAATCTTGCTGAACTAGTTACCAACATTATATATTATAACATTATGCTATAAGAATATTAGCATAATAAAAACAATATACGTCTTATTACCGGACCAGTTGTTTCCATCATAGAGCATATGACATATCTACGAATGCGGCACCGTATCTCCAAAGTTTTTTCTACCTGTGAAAAAAATAAAATCGGTGACTTTTTTTTTCTAATTACGTAGTTACACTGGAAAGTATATGAATCACAATATAACAGAACAAACGTATTGGACAGGTATGCTAACGGTGTTTAATTTTAGTAAATGGAAAATGGGTTCTACGTTTCTTTTTTTTTATTTTTGTAAAGCATGTTCGATTTGATTTTTTACCATTTTCTTAAACCACCTGAGACTGAATGGAGAACTAGAAGAAGAAAAATTGGATGGGACCGGAACAGAAAGACAGAAGGTGTCGTCTCAAATTTTTGAGTTGACGCCTTATGTCTTCCTCTTCCTGTGCCTTCCACTTTAGGTTCTCCTACAGGTCTTCCCGCTCATTTCAATCTAAGCGACGGCCAATTTAATCCAAGTGCCACCCAATTATATTCAAGTGCCACATAATTTAATCCTTGCGCTTCCCAATTGAATCCCGGGGTCAGTCAATTTAATCCAAAATATGTATATGCACTTAATGTCTTCTTGAACGACCTCAAGGACGTCGCCTTGAGGACGACGTCTAGGAAAAACCTCAAGGACAACGTCTACGACAATCTCATAGACGACGTCTAAGACGACCTAAAATAAGACGTCTAGTACAAACTCAAGGATGACGTCTAGGGCGACATCGAGGACGGCTTCTAGGAGAACCTTGAGGACAACGTTTAGGACGACCTCAAGGAAGACGTCTTGGACGACCTGAAGGACAATGGCTAGGACGACCTCAGGGACGACTTCAAAAACGAACTTGAGGACGACGTTTAGGACGACCTCAAGGATGACTTTAGAACGACCTCGAGGACAACCTCTCGGACGACGACTAGGACGACCTCAAAGACGACGTCTAGACGACCTCAAGGACGACTTTCAGAACAACCTTAAAAAAGACACGTAGCGGACGACGTCTTCTAGGTGTCGTTCTCAAGTTCGTCTTAAAAGTCGCCCTAGACGTCATCCTTGAGGTTGCCTAGACATCGCCCCTGAGGTCATCCTAGGCGTCGTCCTCGAGGGCGTCCCTGATATCGTCCTAAAGTTCGTCCTAAACGTCGTCCTCGAGGTGGTTCTTGAGGTCGTCCTAAACGTCGTTCTAGGCGTCGTCCTTGATGTCGTCCTGAAGGTCGTCTTAGTTTCACGGGTGTAGAGCCGGAAAGAAAAGAATAAAAAGAAGATAAAAGAGGAAGAAGAGGATCGCGAGGAACGACGGGCAGGTGCGGCAGTTCTGGCCCGTTTCTTGTTGAAACCGGCAACGCCCCGGCTACTGAAGCCTCACAGAAACCGGCCCCGCTCCGGTTCCTGCGAACCCGGCAACGCTCCGGCTCCTGAAGCCTCACCGAAACCGGCCCCGCTCCGGTTCCTGAGAGCCCAGCAACGCTACGGTTCCTGCAATTGTCACGTTCGCCAGGTCCAACACGCGACATGATTTAGACAAGACCAGGTGAGATAAAGGCATGTGCATACATATTAAAATAATGAAAGGAATTCAGAAGGTAGTTATCAAAAAATAAAAAAAAGGAAAAGTTCAAAGCAGACCAGAGTCCCCGTGGTCAAGTCCCCACAAAAGCTCGACTCACGCCTGACGTGGCGGGGCTTCAGCAGCGTTGCGGGGCTCGTGGTGGCCTCAGGGATCAGAGCGTTGCCGGACTTTTCGTGGCTGCAGGAACCGTAGCGTTGCTGCATTCTCAAGAACCGAAGCGGGGCCGGTTTCTCTGAGGCTTCAGTAGCCGGAGCACTCCCGGTTTCAACAAGCAACGGGTCAGAACCGCCGCGCCTGCCCGTCGTTCCTTGCGATCCTCTTCTTCCTCTTTTATCTTCTTTTTCTTCTTTTCTTCCCAGCTCTACACCCGAGACACTTAGACATTGTCTCTGGCGTCATCTTCCAGGTTGTTCTTGAGGTCGCCCTAGACGTCGTCCCTGAGATCGTCCTAAACGTCGTCCTCTAGGTGGTGTTTTCGAGTTCGCCCTAGGAGTCGTCCTTGAGGTCGTCCTAGAAGTCGTCCTTGAGGTCGTCCTAGACGTCGTCCTCTAGGCATCGTCCTAGACGTCGTTAAATGAGTTTCGCTGGTCCTCGATCTTCACGTGAAGTGAAGGGGCTCTACATTTTTTCTATTAATATTGGAATCAAAGATCGTTTACCTCGCATGCATCGCGGACACCAAAGGGAGCCGTCGGACGAAGAGAAGGGCTCACTGGATGAACTTCTGGTCCGGCGCCGCTCTCTGATGTCCGGGGTAAGTGAAGTATAAAGTAACTCAAAAGTAACTAGAAGTAATCGAAAAACTAATCAAATCGTCAATATAGCTAATAATGATTAAATTGGCTGTATAATGACCCAAAGTAATCAAAATACTGGGTAAATAGCGGCTCAAACCATTTTAAAGGATAATTATGATGCAAATTTAGCTCATAGAAACGAAATTGATTCGATATTAGCTCAAAGTAATCAAGAGTCATCAAACTGTCAATCAAGTCGAATTAATGTACGCTGAGTCAATAGTAACTCGAAAAAATCAAGAGTAATTGCCATAAAAATTTAGCTCATGACAGATATATTGGTGTTGCAATAACTCTAAGCACTTAAAATTGACACCAATATGCTAATTGGGCGGATTTAAATCCCATGGGGTTGATAGTTAACAAAAAATATAATCATGTCAATTATGCAAAAAATAAATCAATTGGATGAAAATTAGCAAAAAATAATCAAGCGTCATTACAATGCCAGTTAAGCCGAATTAAGATTAATAGGAACAAAAGAGTAATAAAATGTAAATCGAGCTCTTAAAAGACCAATTCGTTGAATTTAACGTCAATGTAATCAGAAGAAATGCCAAATTGTGAAATAGGACAAATTCATTGGGTCAAGCTAACTCAAAGTAACCAGAAGAAAAATCATAATATACATTAAACTCATAATAAATAAGTGTGTACGAAGATAAGTTCAAAGTGATAAAAAGAGTCATCCCAATGTTATTTCGGTCAAATTGAAGTCTACTGGGTTAAAAGTAACTCGAAGTAATCAAAAGAGTAATTATAATGTCAACTAAGTTCATTAGTTATCACTTGTAGGCACAATAACACGAAGTAACCAAAAGAGTAGCCAAAATGTCCATTAAACCGAATTAAAGTCCATTCGGTCAAAAGTACCTCAAAGTAATCAAACCAGTAATTGTGATGTCAATTGAGCAAATAACAAGATTTTTTGTTAATTATGAGACCAAAAAATCAAGTCATCGCAATATCAATGAAGCCGAATTGAAGTCCTTTGGATCGGAAGTAACCCGAAGTAATCAAGACTAATAATAAGGTACCAAATGTCACTTCAGCCAAATTAAAGTCAATTGAATTGAAAATAACTCAAAGTAATCAAAAGTCAGTATTCATCGCATAAAGATTCAATTCGTTCAAGATTAGCTAAAAGTAATGAAGAGCCATCACAATGACATTTAATTCGAATTTATGGCAAATGGGTCAAAAGTAACTCGAAGTAATCAAGAGAAATAACAATGTCAACTGAATTCATTATAGATCAATTAGAGCAATAATAAACGAAGTAGTGAAAAGAGTAATCGTAAATTGCAATTGTACCTTTATCATCTGAACCGTAGCCATGTTGGGTCTAGTAATAAAAAAGGTTAAAGAAAACGTCCATTCAGCTAAAATAAACTCGAGCGCACCGCAATAACTTGAGATTACAGAACGAGTAATCAGCATATCAACTAAGCCTCGTCAATAGTGGCACTAGTACTCCAAGTAATCACAATAGTGATCAAATAATCAGTTATTCCCCCAAAAATCAAATTGTAGAAACAATTATTCTAAGTTACAAAATGAGTAAGCAAAAGACGATTACCGAAGACAATAAGTGCATATATATATATATATATTGTCGAATAAATTGACTGACCCCGGAATCAAATTGGGTAGCACAAGGAATAAATTATGTGGCGCTTGGATTAAATTTGGTGGGACATAGATTAAATTGGCCGTCGCTTGGATTCAGATGCGCGGGAGAGCCTGTAGTTCTCCACCCAGTCACAGGTGCTTCAAGAAAATGGTAAACCTACACCAGCTGCCGTTCGCCATAGCAGTCTCATCGTTATTCGATTTGTTGCTGATAAATGCATTTTTTTACCCCGTAAACTTTTAATTTGCTCATTACCCGCATAACGCCCTGTCCTAAGGCTTTCGAGGTATTATTGCATAAATGAATAGATAAATAATTGAGAAGCGCGGATATAGCAGTTTGAGAGTCCATGAACATCTCCTTGGATCATGTTGTGTAGTCTTCACTAACAAATATACGATCGAATACTTGTGGTCAGAGGCCGTGTTTGACCAGGATGATTTTTATGGCTTTTTGAAAAGCTTTAAGTATAAACTATAGGTGCGATTGATTAGAGAATGATGTTCTTACATTTCAGGCGAGCGAGTTCATTTTTCACGAGGATTATGCTGCCCATGCCAAACTTTACAAGAATGATGTGGCCCTCATCAGGCTATCTCGTCCATTTAACTTGGAGGAGAGCCACGGATATATTGGAACGATTTGCATTCCCGAGTCAAGTTCCATAGCGAGAAATATTGTGGCCGCCGGATGGGGAGATCTCTCACACAGTAAAAACAAATTCAGATATTTTATAAATTAAACAAATATTAAAGATCATAAAAATAGGTCGAGTGTTGACACGCCCTGATGATAAAAAATGGAAGTTGTGTCAACGAGTCCGATGCGACCCCTCATACTATTGACCATTTCATAACTTGCCGTTCGTCCAATGTGAATCTGAGCACGGCGCACACGACGGATGTCTTAAGGTAGAGAAAGAACAACGCCAAGTAAATTCAGCAGCGTTTGCGTTATCCGTATCGAGAAAACTGCACGAATAACAGCGCCACGCGGGAATCGTTTCGGAAGTTTTGGAAAGGTGCAACATATATCCATGATGAGAGTTGTAAGTGACGTTAGGTAGTCCTTTCCCGTCCTTTTTTTTAGGTAACGCTAGGGAGGAAAGGTTGTGGCGACTTCTTTGAGGGCGGTGTTAGACATTTGGTGCCACATCATGCTATGTTACACTGTGCCTCATCGTGTTCTTGAAGTACATAAACTAAACAGAATTTCAGAATTCCCAGGTTCCACTCTCCCATCATGCTAGTTATTACAGCTGAATAGTAAATAGCTCTTGAGCAAACGCAACAGTGAATATTATGCCAAAACTAACATGCGGATTTCTCCTGCAGTTCTACGCGGTGACGCAGTAGGAATTTTTCGTTTTGCTGAACAATAAAGCAGACAGATCGAAGACACAATTGTGAGCGCTTTCACTTGTTTTGGGTCCTGGAGCTTTCCCGGAATTCATTTAGCACCATCAATGTTTTTCTAACCCTTCGAGAACAAGCTCTACTGTCCCAAATTACATCTGACAGCACGTTTTCACTGTTTGCAAAAGAGTTTGGCAGTCTCTCAGATAAGATTTAGAAATGCGGTAACTTTTTTTAAAATTACAGTGAGTTCTAGTTTGGGCTGCTATAGTGCGTTGCAACTCAAGAAGGTAGGGCGAGGGAAAGGAAAGCCGTGGAGGGGTTGGCAGACAGAATGCTAAAGAGAGGAGGAGCTTTCCCCCTCTCCTTCCCAGCGCTCCATCTGCTTTCCTTTCTCTCACCCTACCATCTAGAGTTGCAACGGGCTAGTGTTCAGATGAATCTAATAGTGCGTTGAACCAATTTCGAAGCGAACTCGTGACCATCAAAATTTCTCCAGTGTGTCTAACCCTTTAAGGCGATCAAGCACACGAGAAGAAACTGCTTAGTGTAAATAAATGTTTTGTAAATTTAAAATATTTTATTATTTCTATATTTATCGACGGTTCAGGAGGTGTTAAAAATGTTACCTTTGTGCCATACTCTTTTCTTGTGATTGCGATCCCTTCTCCCGTCCTTACGAAAGAGCTCTGAATTGTTTTTCTCTTCAGAGGAGGCAGAGCTCTTGTGACGTGTATCATTGGGCCTTAAATACATTTTTTTCTATTGATCAGGAGAGTACTATCGAAGAGAGAAGTTGTTGCAACCTCTTATTTCGGCCCTTGCTTCCAAGTGTTTGTGCGTTTTAGGGTGTCGTCATAAAGTTTACCGGAAGGTACCATATAGGTTTTTAGAGGCAGCACGGGAATGTAACTTAAGTATATATTCTGTCGCTTAAACACAAACTTAACTTATATCTGAAACGTATTAACGCTAATTACCATTTATTAAAAAAAAAAAAACAAGAAATCTAGCGATGGAAAAAAGAGGAGGAAGTCGTTTCTCAACTAGAAAAAAAAAAAGAGCTGATTGTTTATATATATATATACTTTTTTTTTTGCGGTGGCATATCAGCGAAATATTTTCCCTTGCTCCACCTAACGTTAACTCAGCCATTTTTTAAGATATGTTGACATATGTATTACTTTATTTCACATACCGTATTCTCTGCCAGCTGACAATGAAGTATTGTGCAGATATTTGACAAGTCGGGACATGAGTACGTTCAAATGAAGAAAACATTTGATTTTAACATGTGGAATGCTTCGTAACTGTAGTCCCCACTTCCGAAAACGTTTTCGTTTTGCTTGTCCATGCGTCCCCGCGTACCCCATGGCTCGTGACTTAACGTTACACCTTGACCTAACGAGACGACAGGGTGCCACGCTACACTGTGACGTATTCACTTCGTGTTACGACAGCTCCCGTGACGTCACGGTGTACCGTGAAATCAAAAGTCTTATAGTGGCTTCACGTGACGGTTGATGTCTTTACAACTAATTGAAACTATCGCTTCTTAAATACTACGTTCCAAACAACATGGACATTTTGAGAGAGTAGTTGATGCTAATTTCTTCTTTGATATTAGCAAGTAGCATATTACAATTAAGACAGTTTTGTGAGGGACCTTATAGTCCTTAATCCTTAACATTGCTTATTTCTTATGGAACTATTATTAGAGGGAAGCTGAAGCGGTTTTGAATTTGATTAAGAACACCTGATTCTTTTTAATTTGACTCCAAGCATCACGAATATCACAAAAGAAGTATGTTCAATGTCGTTTTAAGGAAAAACGATGATGATATTTAGATTCTCCAAGAAATAACTACTCCAGAAAGAAGCATTACCTCATTAAAAGGAAAATACCGTTTCAGCTTCCTTTTAAGTGAAGAGCATACTGCAATTACGATAAGGAAAGAGGGACATTAAAGACAAACAGACAGGACAGGCTTTCGACTTTCAACAAGACGTTTATTGGCTTGACTTCGCCTCCTGAAGCTCGACGGGGGCATCCGGGAGGTTGAGAGCGAGGGTGGTGGGTGAGGGAAGCGTGGCCATGTGGCCCTGCTTCCAGCTACGCGTACACGTAGTAAAATGGGGTCTGCTGTGTGTCAATCGACACGTCGCCGTTGCACAGAGGCCCGAGTGTCGACGGTGCCCTCTTGGGGAAGGGACGGAGGAGGGGAAGGGAACGGCGCAGACAAGAGGAAGAGGAGAAGATGCACCGGCGTGGCTCTCTTGGGGAAGGAAGGGAAGGGGGGATGCGCGGAGAAGAAAAGGAGCAGAGGATACGGGAATTTTGACTTTTTTTTATGTCTTTGGAGGAACCCTCTCGCCCAGCAGGAAGCGAATCTTTCGATCGGAAAAAGAAAGGGATGGGCTGGACAGGTTTGAGACAGAGGATTTGATATGTACAGACTCAAGGATCTCCCTGCCGAATCGAGATTTGTGCCCACCGAGGATTTTGGTTTTCGAGAACTTGGGGGTGCACGAGGGGCAGTTTTTGGCATGAGCCACGACAGGATGAAAGGAGTCGGGAGAAGGAGACGAGATCACCTTGGCGTGCTCCCGGAGACGGTCATTCACGCAGCGTTCCGTCTGACCGATGTACTCGGCTCCGCACACAAGAGGGATGCTATACACGTCCATTTTTGTGCATGGCCGGAAGCACTCCGCGTGTTTTTTTGTGCATGTGTTTGGGGGTTCTGGGTTGGTGACTCGCTTGCGCATGCCTCCCAATTTAAATTTACATGTGAAAACAACCCTGGTACCGAATCAATGTGCAAGTGCGCGCAGTCGCACTTGCACATCGATTCGGACATTCAAAAACCGTTAAGTCCGGAATCGTTGAGTCTCTCCTTTCCTCCTCTTGCAAAAAGTTATGCGATCACAAAATCAGAGAGAGCCTGTCGCTGCAGGCCACCAGGCTCCGGAAGGCGGGTTACCCGGTAGACCTCCTAGATAACATCAGCAAGAATCTCATCCTGCAGTCTAGGAGCCGCTCAAAAGACGCCCCCTCCGGGACCCGGTCTGCCCGCCCTGCGTGCATTCCTTCTCCCACAACCCGGCACACCGACTGCGCGCACTTGCACATCGATTCGGTACCAGGGTTGTTTTCACATGTAAATTCAAATTGGAAGGCATGTGCAAGTGAGTCACCAACCCAGAACCCCCACCCACATGCACAAAAAAACACGTGCAGTGCTTACGGCCATGCACAAGGGAGAAGGTGTATAGTATCCCTTTTGTGTGCGGAGCCGAATACATCGGTCAGACGGGGCGCTGCGTGAATGACCGTCTCCGTGAGCACGCCAAGGAGATCTCGTCTCCTTCTCCCGACTCCTTTCATCCTGTCGTGGCTCACGCCAAAAACTGCCCCTCATGCACCCCCGAGTTCTAGAAAACCAAAATTCTCGGTCGTGTTATGAACGGCCCCCGGGCCAGACCATCTCTACCTAATCCAACCGGCACCGGAAAACCCCTTGAGTATCGTCGCCATGTGGCTCCGGTCAGTTGTGCCCGGAAACAAAGCGAGAGGAAACAAAGGAATGCCGTGGCTTTCTACGGAGGACCACCGTGTTGATGTCGCCACACCTAAGCGCGAAGCTGAGCCGGAACCTTCTTTCTGGCTGCGATTACGCTGGCCCGAAACGGGGTCAGCCGACGCAGGAACCGGGGGATTACCGTGCGAGGATTCCGGGTGACGGCGCGCCAGCTGCGGGACCTCCGTGAGGGTGTGTTCGGCAGGGATTATCTTCGAACGCTACTAGCGGATATTCCGGCCAAACCCTTTCTCGTGCCACAACGTCGCCTAGGGATCCGCACTATCTCGGCCAACGTCGTCTCCCGGGCTGACAGTGGACTCTTTGCTGTCGCCTCCTCGGCGCGGCGCGGCCTTCGAGGGCGAGAGTGTCTCGGCGCCGGAATGTGATGCCAGCCGCCACTACACTGTGTGCGTGTGCATGCTCGGGGGATGAGCGGGGGCGGGGCCTGAACAGGACGTTCGTCGGCAGTTCGGCCACCATTGGCTGCCAACCGGTAGGGCCCCAACAGCAACCTTATAAAAGGAGTAAACAAGAGGGCGCATGTGTGCTCTCGGACGATGTAGATACTTTGTATATATGTATTTAAAAAAAGCGTGTCGTGAGAGACCCTCCCGTCTCGTGATGTTCTTGCCGGGAGTTTTCCTGCTGTTCATGTCTGGGCCTGGCCCTGATGGAGGCTGCCTGGAGAACCCCCTCGGACACAACAGTGGGCTCAAATCGTGATTCGGCAGGGAGATCCTTGAGTCTGTACATATCAAATCCTCTGTCTCAAACCTGTCCAGCCCATCCCTTTCTCTTTCCGATCGAGAGATTCGCTTCCTGCGGGGCGAGAGGGTTCCTCCAAAGACATAAAAAAAAAGTCGAAATTCCCGTATCCTCTGCTCCTTTTGTTCTCCGCGCATCCCCCCTTCCCTTCCTTCCCCAAGAGAGCCACGCCGGTGCATCTTCTCCTCCTCTTCTTGTCTGCGCCCTTCCCCCCTCCTCCCTCCTTTCCCCAAGAGGGCACCGTCGACACTCGGGCCTCTGTGCAACGGTGACGTGTCGATTGACGCATAGCAGACCCCATTTTACATGTACGCGTAGCTGGAAGCAGGGCCACATGGCCACGCTTCCCTCACCCACCACCCTCTCTCTCAACCTCCCGGATGCCCCCGTCGCGCTTCAGGAGGCGAAGTCGAGCCAATAAACGTTTTGTTGAAAGTCGAAAGCCTGTCTTGTCTGTTTGTCTTTAGTGTCCCTCCTTCCTTATCTTAAATTAATAACCAACACGCTCAACCATCTACAGTATACTGCATCTTTGTGTGTTGTTCAGGATACTACAATTTTATAATAACGGGTTTAAGGTCCCAAGTGTTTTAGCATTGTTTAGCATCTGAAAATTTTCTTTCATCTATATTTCAAAGATAATTGTATGTAGATGTTTGTACCTAAACCAACCGGTTTATTGCGATGTCTTTATTTTGCTTGTCTCAGATGGCCAGAGTCCTGATTCATTAATGACTGCAAAAGTTTCCATCCAGAGTTCTCACATGTGCACTCGACAGAGCAAACTCTATGTACAATCAGTAATGTTCTGTGCCAGCAGTCCAGGAAAAGATACGTGTAAGGTACATACAATTTAAATATTGATTCTTATTCTCTACTGTTAAACTTGCGTATGCCATACCACAGATATACAAAAGCACGTGCTACATCCATCACACGACATGTGCTTTTCGCTTGTGGTTGCGGAATCACTACCTTTAATGCCCCTTATTTCTTTTTAGTTCTTAGAATCCTTAAAGAGGTGACCAATGTTTTTTAAACATTTTTGCGGGTCGCGCGTTCGCGCCATACGTCGGTGTCACATGACGAAATTTTCTCCAAAAGCGTGTCGGGTGTAAAGATTGTGGCTGGCGTAATACATTTGATTAATCGTTGCGGTCACGACAGCTATAATGTTTTTCTTTTTCTTATAATTATGATTACGTGTGAAGATAAGGGGGGGGGGGGGGGGCTTCTGCCAAAACTTTATGGTACTGGAACGATTTCTGTCCGTTTCAGGTGTTGGTACACGATGACGGGTCTGGTATGCTTATTTGGGTATTAACTTCCGTGTTGACCTGAAAGCTAATATATTCGTCTTGCTGAATTTGAAAACTTTAGCCCATCAAAATAAAAAATACTTCAAATTTGGTGTAATATTAACACGAAATAAATATTGCTATTTATAATGGCGAAGGTTAGGTCAAGGTGCTTCATTATGCGAAGTGTTGTAACCTTGTGGCAGCAGAAAATCACTTCAAAGTTACAGATCTGACCGATTGAAAAAAACTGAGAGCGGTAGGCTTTGTTGCAATACATAAAAATATCCTTTACTGCTATGGGTGACCGGCGTTTGGCAGCAGCCGCAAAGCACTATGGGTAATATTCACTTCCGGTTCGTAGCAACATCCGACGCACCACCATGGCAGTTATGGAAGAGTGAGCGGGTGTTGAGTCCGATCAATTCGAGCCACCTCGGTCTGCTGCTGGTTGAGTTATGAATTTCTAATTGTCTGAAATTACTTCTACGAATACGTCAAATAGGAAACGGCACGCAGGAGCATCGAGAACGGCCACCAAAGGGCGGAGCGAATGCGGCAAGCTGCCAGCTGCACTCGCGCCGCGCATTCCGGATCGTCGCATGAAAACTCAGGCTCGGTTAGATAGTTCGTTTTCCTTTTGAACCAGCGTTTTTCACTGGGTTTTGCTAATTTTTGATGGTTACGTTATATCACAGCACCGACTGAAATGGGTGCGAATATAAGCAGCGGGACGCGGCCAGCTGGAATGCCCGATCGGAGCTATGTCGTACTATTCTCATTTTGTTAAAACATATCAGACTGGCTAAGAAACTCTTGTAACAAACAAAAGCTGAAGAGACAGGGAAAGAAGTCGGTTAGACGACCTCTCATACTCAGCCAATACGTTTTCTCGCGCGATCGAAACGCCACTTGTTTGCAAAAGTTAGTTTTGACGATATCTGACTAGGTGAGAACCCTTGCTTTTAGCACTCACGTGATTTTTGTACTTTAACTAAGTTGTACCCCATGTACTACCATTACCCTCCAGCCACAGTTTTTTTAATGATGTCGAGTAAGAAATCATGCATAAACAAGCGCCGATTTTGATATGGGCTACGCAGGGTCAGACTACTGATTTATTATCAGTCAATATGAAGGTGCTGCCTGTTGGCTTTTGTTTATTTTTATTGGGTGTCCCAAATAGCAACCAGTCTCTTCAAATCGAGCGCAAAATTCGGTTTCTTAACCTGTCACGCTACGATTGTGTGCAGCATTGCCCACAGGTGGTGCATAATTTCTTTAAAATTCGCAAAGATGGAACTTAGCTGAGGAAAAAATAAAGAATGAAAAAGGCTTAGATCGCATGGAAACGCAGCAAAGCCACCGGTCTTCAAGCCATAGGGCGCCGTGTTGTTTCAAGACCGGTGGCGTCGCTGCGTTTTCATAGGACCTAAGCCTTTTTCTTTCTTTACTTTTTCCTCAGGTAAGTTCGCTCTTTGCAAATTTGCAAAAAAAAAAGTGCACCATCTGTGGGCAACCCTGCACAAAACTGTAGCGCGATAAACCGAATTTTGCGGTCGATTTAAGGAGCCTGGTTACTATTTGGGACACCCGGTATTACAGCAAGCTGACCTGTCCTTTTGTTTATTTATATTAAAGCAAGCCACCCCTTCACAACGCTTCGCGGCATCAGTCTGCAACGGCTCATTACAGAAAACGTTAATCCGATCTCTCGCTGTAACGATTAAACGGCCTGGTGATGGAACTGTACTGCGACGAAACGTCATACGATGAGCTGATTTCCTGCGATATCGCATCCCGCGTTTTCGCGGATGCCTTGTACGACAAGCAGCGCTCACCCCTTCGCGGATTAACCGATACCTTTTTCTGGGTGCCAAAAGACTCTGTTAGATATTATTTCAATTTCAGTAAACGATTTTGATCACGAATACAGCACGGCTACCCGCCCAGAAGGGCTCTCGATGCAGCCGGACGAACCACGACCGGCACCGGACGAACCGGAAACGTGAAGTCACGTGACGCCTCGCTTCATATGACGAAACTTCCGGCTCAAATGCCGGTCACCTATTGCTACCCGAATTTGTGCAGTAAAATATTTAGGTAATCGCCAAATGAGAAGGCAGTTTTATGTTACGTCTCTCTTATGTACTAATTAAATCTTACATACCGAAGTTGCTTTCGGATCGTCTGACATGTATTAAACTTTTATCACCTGCTGAGTTTTATCATTATTACCTGCCTTTCAAAACAATGCAAAGCTGCAAAGATATATTTAAAGTTCTATTCATTGATCCTAGGGAGATTCCGGTGGCCCCGTTCTTCAGGAAAAAGGAAATGTAACAGTCCAGGTTGGAATTGTTTCCTTCGGCAGAGGGTGTGCCGAAACACCTGGATACTATGTCAGGTTGTCCTCCTTCACAAGCTGGATTGAAGATCAGATGATTATGCTGGGATATACTGTTAAATCGACGTAATCCAGGCAAAATAAAGACAACATTCAAAATATTATGACCAGTTTATTTCAGCATGCAACGGCGTTTTTTTCATTTGTTTTATTATTAATAAAACAGTATTTCCGGGTATTACATTTAGCATTTAGCGAAGTTCTAAAATTTTCTCGGCTAGAAGTTTTGTCTGATGTTCACGAGTAGCGATAATTTTGTCTTCTTGTAGGCGGAAAAAAGGTCCTTTGATAGCCGAATATAATATCAAATAATGACATTGAAACAAGTCCTAAATCTAAAGGACCCAAGTATCCATGGCCTGCTCGACCTCTTCTTTGGATGTGACTATAACTATAACCGTTGAGGAGCAGTTGTTTTTTTTTTTTTTCTGCAAGAATTTGTTTTTTGGGGGGAGATGCATTGAAGGCCGGGATTTAGGACTTGGTTTGCTTTCGTTTAGTTGATTTCTTTGAGCAGAAAGATTTTTGTCAAGTGTTTACATTCTCAAGCGTAACCTTAAACAGGCTCCTCCTAACATACGCAAACTTGCCTTTTCCACACTAATACGTCCAAAATTAGAATATGCATCAGCCATTTAGGATCCCGAACATGCTTACATCATAAACGACATTGAATCACTGCAAAATCGTGCCGCTCGCTTAATATTTTCAGATTATTCACGTCATTGCAGCGTCACAGCACTAAAACGCCGAGCAGAGCTACCCGAACTACTCCATCGTCGCAAACTTTCACGCCTATCTCTTTTCCATAAACTTTACCACCACGCGTCACTTCACGGTGATTTCTTCGAGCCACCTGCCGTTATTTTTCCACGCCGCGATCACCCCTACAAAGTTAAACGCATAACCTGTAAGTCATCTGCCTTTTCCCGGTCATTCATTCCACGTACCGCAATCGATTGGAATAATCTACCATCGCACATTGCCTCAGAAAAAGACACCACGAAGTTTCAAGAACAAATTCAAAATACTGATGCCATCTAACTTTTGCTGTTTTACATTGTTGTTTAATCTTTTCCGGAACGTGCAGAGCAAATGTGTACTATTTTGTTTTTACCTTGACTCAGCTTTATTGCAGTGTGATGAGTGAGTGTATGTTTTTTTTTATTCGTTTTTGAGTGTATCCTTTATTTTCTTTTTATTATTAAGTATATTGATTGTTTTCTAGTATTCTCATATGTTGTTCAATGTGCACTAGTTCCTATTGGAACGATTTATGTACCCCCCCTATGTAATACCCTCTCACGAGGGCCTTTAGGGGTAATATGAATAAAAATAAAATAAAATAAAAAAAATATATTTCACTATATTTGTGAATCACATTCTTCATAATATTTTCCACATATGCGAAATATTACGTGAAATATAATGAGCACACAAGAGCATTCTCAATGAATCTAAATAAGAAGACAGATAAAAAGGGCAACCTAATTAAGGAAAGAAGAGGAATGGAGGTGCTCAGTAAAGCCTGGCTTCTTTTCTCCCCACAAAACCATAATTTAAACTGCCTATTCTGGTAGTCATATTAGATGATCTAGTTTTTATAGGCATGTGAGGGGGGCTAACTTTTCCTTTCTGTTATATCTGTTTTACCTTTTTTCTAGCTCTTCCTCTCTTTAATTAAACTATTCTACTTAACCTGTTTCTGATACTCTGCATTAAATTAACAGAAACTATTTAATAGGTCCGGTATTTATGCGATTGAATTAACCTAAATTTACTGTGTTTTTTTTGTTTGTTTTTTATGTCCACAAAGCACAACTTCTTCGGTTGTCATCTATCACAGCAAAATAACAAACAAAGCAAAGCAAAACCGGAAAGCGTGAAACGAAATAAAAAAAATAAACAAAGCAAAGCAAAAGACGGGACCCGCAAGTGCCACGGGATCTCGAATTTGCCTTACGGCGTCCTCCGCGAGAACACGACACCCAGAATATGGTCGTCGGGGGTCACCGGTCGCCACAACCACGGCCACAGCAGTTACGACGGGCAGACGCGCGGTTCGGCATCAATTCGAGGAAGCCCCCCACTCTGGGTGTCGGGTGACACGTGCTAATTTTGGAGCCGTTTGTTTCGAAAAGATTAACACATATTTTAAAAAAAATACAGTTTTGTTAAGCACAGTAGAGACAAGGGAAAATACGTGACATCAATTTTCCCGTCAAATTTAGCGGAGAAAGTGAATTGGTGTGTAGGGGCACATGACGTATATTTTTCATCCAAATATTATCACGAATAGATATGTAATAGAACAAAGAATAACTGGGGAAGCTGAAACGTTTAATGGGGCGAATTTGTGCCCAAAGATAAAAAAAAAGAAAAACGATAACAACAGAGCGGCGCGGGCGTCGAAGGCGGCGAAGCAGCAGAATCGAACGCTGAGGCGACACTGCCAGCGGCTTCCCACGCGGAGCCCCTTATGTACCCTTATGTACGGGTTCTGGAAGAATCGGCGTGTAGAGCCATTCTGACTTCGAACAAGCAACACGGTTCTCGAATTTACCAGAACATTACGTCAGAGTCCATAAAAATGCCTCCCCGCGGCCAGAAATCGAACCCTGGCTTTCTGCGTGGAAGGCACGCGCGATCACCTTTAGGCCACGAGCGCGCTGCCTGCATGGTAAGCTGCGCTCGCGGCATTACTCCCCCCCCCTTTAAAAAGTGCATCGCCCCGATGCAACACAAAACAAAACAAATCAAATAAAAAAGACGGTAAACTAAAGAGTCATTTGGAACATATAAGGTCCACCGTCCTATCAAGCGTAGTATGGCTTCAGGCGCACGGCGTGGACGACTTCAGGCCGTGGTGGGTGGCGTGATGACATTCTTATTCCGACGGGCATCACCTCGTAGTTCAGATCTCCAAGTCGACGAAGTACCTTCCAGGGTCCAAAGTTCCGTTTAAGGAGTTTCTCACTGAGACCACGGCGGCCCGAATCGGTGTATAGACCCATACCCTGTCTCTGGGTTGGAAGTGGACGTCCCGACGACGAAGGTTGCGCCGGGTAGCGTCGACACGTTGTTGATCTTGAATTCAGAGTCGGGCGAGCTGGCGAACTTCTTCGGCTCGTTGAGCAACCGCCTGGGTGTCGGGGCTCCCATCGTCGGCTGGTTTATGCGGTAGAATCGCGTCGAGCATGGTCGATACTTTCCTGCCATGCACCAGCTTGAACGGGGTTACTCCTGTGGTCTCTTGCACCACTGTCTTGTAGGCAAATGTGACGTAAGGCAACACCTCGTCCCATGAATTGCGCTCCACGCCGACGAACATGGAGATCATGTCGGCGATGGTTTTGTTGATTCTTTCTGTGAGCCCGTTGGTCTGCGGGTGGTACGCCGTGGTGCCCCGATGACTGGTGTGGCTGAAATGAAAGATTTCTTGCGTCAGCTGAGCCATGAACGATGATCCACGGTCTGAGATCGGAACTTCGGGAGCGCCGTGCCGGAGGATGATGGACTCAATAAAAAAACTTGGCGACTTCCACATCAGTTCCTGATGGAAGGGCTTTCGTTTCGGCGTACCGCGTTAGATAATCTGTGCCGATGATTATCCATCTGTTTCCCTGCGTTGATCGTGGGAACGGACCAAGTGGATCCATTCCGGTCTGCTGGAACGGCGCGGTCGTGGGAGCAATTGGCTGCAGGAGACCTGCCGGCTTCGTCGGCGGTTTCTTGCGTCGCTGGCACTCGTTGCACGATCGTGTATAGAGGTGGACGGTCTTTGGCAGCTTGGGCCTGTAGTACCTGTCACGAATTTGGGCCAGAGTACAGCTGTAGCCATGATGTCCGGACGTCGGGTCGTCACGGAAGGCTTGAAAGACCTCCGCTCTCAGGTCGGTATGGGTTACCAGCAGCAATGGCGAGCTGCTGTCTCCAAAGTTCTCCGTGTAAAGTACATCTTGCCGGAGGACGAAAGTCGGCAGGGCTCTTGAGAAGACACGTGGGATAGTACCCCCTCGTCCTTCGAAGTACTCGATTAGCACGCGCAACTCAGGATCGTCTCTTTGACGTCGTGCCATGTCGTCGGTGCTCACTGCGCCAAGAAAGTACTCGTCGTCATCGTCGTCGATGCTAGCGGTACATGTCTCGACAGGGGCTCTGGACAGGCAGTCGGCGTCGCTGTGCTTGCGGCCTGACTTGTAGACCACAGTCATGTCGAACTCCTGGAGTCGCAGGCTCCATCAACTGAGGCGTCCTGAAGGGTCCTTTAGGTTCGCAAGCCAGCAGAGTGAGTGGTGGTCCGTAACAACACGGAACGGGCTCCCGTACAGGTATGGGCGAAACTTCGTGATGGCCCAGACGATCGCAAGACATTCCTTTTTAGTCGTGGAGTAATTTATCTCCGCTTTGGACAGTATCCGAATTGCCTAGGCGATGACTCACTCGCCGCCTTCTTCCACTTCAACCAGTACCGCGCGAAGTCCGGCGTTACTTGCGTCCGTATGAATCTCTTTTTCCGCATCTTGATCGAAGTGTCCAAGAACTGAAGGGGTCTGGAGTTGTTGCTTCAGCTCGTCAAATGTCTGGTGTTGCTCGTCGGCCCATTCGAACTTCTGGACGTCCTTTGTGAGGTTTGTGAGTGGTGCGGAAATCCTTGCGAAGTCGCGAACGAAGCGCGGATGTACGCACATAGTCCAAGGAATCTTCGTACGGCCTTCTTGTATGTCGGCGCTGGAAATGCCGCGACGGCGCGAGTCTTCTCTGGGTCTGGGCGAACACCATTGTTGCTAACCACATGGCCTAATAACTTCAGTTCGTCATAGGCAAACCGACACTTTGACGGCTTCAAGGTGAGTCCGGCGGTCCGGATGGCTTGGAGAACAGCTTGCAGTCGTCGCAAGTGCTTGTCGAAGTCGCTTGAAAACACCACGACGTCTTCAAGGTAGACGACACAGATCTGCCATTTCAGCCCAGCCAGTACGGTGTCCATGACACGCTGGAACGCTGCTGGTGCCGTGCATAGCCCAAAGGGCATCACCTTGAACTCGTACAGTTCATCTGGCGTGACGA